GGAACTTTTCATCCAGACCAGGGAACATTTTATCCAGACCAGGGAACTTTTAATCCAGACCAGGGAACTTTTCATCCAGACCAGGGAACATTTTATCCAGACCAGGGAACTTTTAATCCAGACCAGGGAACTTTTCATCCAGACCAGGGAACTTTTTATCCAAACCAGGGAAGTTATCATCCAAACGGGGGAATTTTTTATCCAGACCAGGGAACATTTATCCAGACTACAGAACTTTTCATCCAAACCATGGAACTTTTTATCCAGATTAGGGAACTTTTCATCGAGACCAGCAAAGTTTTTATCCACACCAGGGAACTTTTAATCAAGACCAAGGAACGCTTCATACAGCCCAGAGAACTTTTATCCAGACCAGGTAACATTTATCCAGACAAGGAAACTTTTCATCTTAACTTGGGAACTTTTCATCTGGACCAGGGAACTTTTTATTCAAACCAGGGAATTTTCCGACCAAACAGGGAACTTTATATCCAGACCAGGGAACTCTAATCAGACCAGGAAACTCTTCATTCAGACCAGAGAACATTTGTCAAGACCAGGGAACTTTTAACAGGGAACTTGTTATCCAGACCAGGATACTTTTATCCAGAACAGGGAACTACTGGATGAAAATACTATACTATAGTTTAGGATAGAATATAGAAGACCAGGGGTCTTCAACGTTTTCCAGGCCAAGGACCCCAAACTGATGGTGAGATGGAGTAGGGACCCACTAATTATATATATTGTATGAAATAGTGTTCTATCAAACTGGTCCTATAGTCACTCTATTACAGATGGAGTAATGTAACTAAAGTAATTTCTCCCTGGGATTATTAAAGTATTTCTGATTCCTTGTTGATGGGACAGGTGTTGTAAATGAAACGGTGCCCAGCTTGAAAGAGCTCCTGTGTTTCGCTTAATGTGAGCATTGATGACTGAAAGACATCTGCCTCCATTTATCTGTTTACTACAGTGTGTTGAATTCATGTTAATGAGTATTTAAAGACATTTCAATAAGTGGAAAAAATTGCAGGGGGGATATAAAAAAAATGTCTAATCACCAAAAGTTTTGCGACCCCCATGCAGTACCTCTGTGGATCCCCTAGAGGTCGTGCCCCCCCTTTTGAAGACCTCTGCTATAGACCATAGTTATACAGAGATTATAGGCAGATGGAGGAGAAGGTTTCCATTGTTACTGTTCAGTCAGCTTCAAAGCAGCTGCAAGATGGATGAAGATCCTTCCTGCCAGCAGCCATCATTCACCTCAACCAAACACAATTATTCTTCTAAGCAAAACTAGGAAGTTGAAACAACCTTCTGGGTTAGTTTTACTTTATATATACATATGTTTTTGTTTTATATTTTAAATCATTGAAAGCAATACATAACAGGGGGATTAAAGTGGAGGCTAACAGAATCCTATATTTTGATAATCTAATTGTTGGGTGGAAACAGGTTGTATTATATTTAACTGCACCTCCAGTTTGTTGTAACATTTGATTTATTGTTTTATTAGAATATCTCAGGCTTAGATGCACTGAGGTCAATCACCTCGTTTGTTACGATTGATAGGGTTTATAACGAGCTGTTTAACTCCATCTTCATCATGATAACAGTTTAGCAGAAAGCTGTCAGTGTCGCTGGATGATGAAAGTCTGGAATGGGAGCCGGCTCAATCAGCCTGGGTCAGCCAGGGATGATAGTAGGTTACCTGGTCTATTAAAACAATCTCTCTTAGTTAAAGGCACAGTGCAGAATTTGTGACTAAAAGAGTTTGACTCATAGGAGTTACTTAAGATGATTCGTCAGGCCAATAT